GTCTGTTCTGTGGGACACAGCACTTGTGTTGAAATCTGGAGCTGAAGAAGCCGAGCGGGGAGCTGTGGGGTGGCCCAGAGGAAGAGGAGCGCAATGAGGCTGCAGAGCTGAGGATGGCACTGTGGTAGTGCCAGTGGGCAGCTCTGTGCCATAGCAAACAGGAACGCCTGCGATGCCTGTGTGGAATAAGGAGATAAAGCGTGTTGCTTATTTCCTTCCATTCGTTAAGATCATCTGCAGCTCCCTGTGCGTCCCTTGCATTGCGTAGAAGCTGCATTTATTGGAAACAGGCTGCTCTAAAGCAGGGGATGTGCCTCAGCAGCACACCTCACCGCTGCCTTGCTGCAGAACAAACAGAAACGAGTAGTGCGTGTCCCAAGTCATTAACAAAGAGCAACAGGTTATATATATGGTACTACCTCTACTTATTTTTGTGCCTCTTGTGCATTGTTACAGCTGAAACGTGGCTGTGTGGAGAGAAGAAATTGGGAAGAGAGTAATGCAACACGAGGACTTACTGGGAAAAAAAGGAAAGGAGAAAAAAATTCAAACATCTGAGCACTGACAAAGAAAACGGAGCTACCTAGGCAATGTCACCCTGCCAGGCAGTCATCTCACATGCAGACCCTTTAATTTGCTAGCAAATTATATTTAAATTTAATTTTCTAGCAAATTACAGCATTCCTCCTTCTTGCCTCAAAGTACTCACACAAGCAAGTGCGAAGCACATTAAAAGCAGGTCTTGTAGTCTGCAAGACCTGGCAGCTACAACTGGTGTCAAGTGGAGAATGCACACAGGAGAGGCAGAGGGGCCAAAGATGGCATCTCCAGGAGCAGCAACAGCAAGGAAAGGAGCCCGGAGAAGAGCTGGAGGTTTTCCTCAGAGCAGAAAGCCTTAATGCCTTTCTCACGATGACAACCACCCCTGGCCTACCTCACCCCTGGGGCATCCTCCCCTGGGGTAACCCAAATGATTGCACAAATCTGTAATTCAGAGAACTTGTCTAAAGCACCAATATTCCCACCTTGAGGTAGGCTGGAAGGGTCATGCCCCAAGTGCTTGCCGCAATAACTCAGCCACAGGTGATGCCTTCACCCTATCCATCCCTTGGCAAACAAGCCTGCTCTCTGTAAAAACTACCTGCATGAGTTAAACCCACCATAGAGCGCAGCAGCTGCGGGAGGAAATGTTCCAGCCAGCTCCTCACAAACAGCACGATGTAGAGAAGAATCACTCCAGTTTTCCTCAAAATTGTAATTTTTAAATAAGAGGGAGTTGTTGGGAGGAAAGGAAGAGGCAGAGAGCAAAGTAGCTCTGAGCAGGGTTTATGTGCCCGGCTGGGGAGAGCCCTGCAGAGGCTGCGGCACCAGGGACCAGCCCCGATGACAGTGGAGCAGGGAGCCAGGAGGTCCCTGTTGACAAGAGCCCAGACCATCTCATCCCTGGGGACAGCCTGGCTTGGCACCCCTGCAAACCTCCTGCTCCCCGTCCCTGCAGATGCCCAAGGTGCTGCCCGCCTGAGCCTGGCACCCACGAGGGACATGCAGCACACGCCTGGCCTGGGCTGGTCCCAGGCAGCAGGCTGGGGCAACTGTGTTTAAAATTGGATTTCCTCAGAATTATTTGCTTTCTCTTCATTTGCTTTCTGAAGACAAGAATAACAATCCACAGCCCAGCCCAGAACCCTCTTTTCAGCTTCAGCCTAACAAAACCCACACCCTCTACCTTTCCTCATTAAAGGGTGCAGAAATTCAGATTTACACTTACGAGGCACAGCCCAGCTCCTCTTAAAAGTCAGTAGGCTCTTTGCACAGATTTTGTGAGTGTTACTTTTTGCGAAGAACATGCCGGATCTAACATGGGAAAGCCAGGGCTTGCTGAATGCCTCTGGCATTCCCCAAGTAGGGACAGAGCTGCTGGTTGAAGGTAATCATCGGAGCCTGGGACAAGTTGCAGGCGCTCTGAGTCTCTGGCCATGTTGCCTGCTCACTGCCCAGCATGGCCAAGCCCACCTTGTTCCCCCCCGGACCCCTGCGACTGCCTGCCTTCAGCACAAGAAACCTCCATCCAACCAAGTCGAAACACAGCAATACAACAGAAGACTATAGACCGAGCCTGGAAGTTCAAAGGGGTGGGAGGAACACCGTTTTCCTTTTAGCATCTCTGATTTCTCCACGCAACAGGTCCTGGTCATTCCTCTCCAGAGCTGATGCCTGGCAGGGATGCTGCCGGGAAGCTCACTGCACTGATCCCACCACCACCACCTAAGCCAAGCAGTGTGTGCCGAACTGGAACAGATGCCCCGATGCTGGTCTGCTCTGGCACCAGTGTGATGCCTGCCATCTCCCAGCCTTGCCATACTTGAGCCAACTGGTGGTGGTGAAGCCCTAGGGTGTAGGAAGGCAGCCGGGAGGCTGGAGCAGCAGCACCCCATCTAGAAAGCCTCTCTCCATTTGCTTTGTCAAGGTTTTTATCCTAATGAGGTTCCCACTCCCAGAAGCACAGAAGATGGAGAGCAGGACAGCCTGCATTTACCAGCAGTTAAAAAATTGAGAGCAAGAGAGAGGGAAAGCCCCGAGGAGCGCTGGGTGTGCGGTGCCCAGCATGGCTCTGCACGCAGAGAGCCATCTGCTCTCTGCCTCCGGCGCAGGCGCTTCAGGAGCAATGGTGAAGGACGGGAAGGGGGGGTTTGCTGCAGGGCAGGGGCGCGAGGAGCGGAGGTCAGAGGGGTGCTCACACGTACGCCTGGTGCAGGGGAAGGAGGGAAACCCCGGGCCCGCATGCCTGCGGAGAGGCTACCCCAGGCAGAGGGAAGAGGAGGACCGTAAGTATGGATGGAGAAGCAAGAGGGAAAGACAACCTGTAAGAAAGGTACAGATCAGTCATTTAACTGCCATCAGTGCCCTCTTGCCTCATGCTTCTCCTGAAACGCTTTTAAATCTTTTCTGATGGAATGTTTGACATATTTAATGCATGCAGTAAAAATTAAAGTAGTAGATAACTTCATATTAATCTGTACAGGGACTGACAGGCTAGATTTAATCACTTCCTAGCTGTTCAGAGAGTTAACTTATTCTAGCATGATTCAAAGGAAAGGTAAAGGATTTTTTTTTTTTTTAAATCAGCCATTTCGTAGTAAGAGAAAAATGTGTCGCAGCCTCGTGTGCATCAGCGCTGGGGGAAGGGAATACCTGCAAGAGAGGCAGAGGTGCTCTGTGAAGGGTGTGCGAATCTCAAATGCCTTGTTTCATCCTCTAAACGTGTACAATGAAAGATTTAAAGACCATTATCTGCTTTCCACCTCCAGTCCACAGGCTTTGGAATCTGGGGCTCAATGCCAACCGTGAAAAACAATGCCGAGCCCTCTCTAGCCTCTGCCCCCAGGGCAGGCATCTCTCCAATGCATGGCCTGCACCAGAGCCTTGCTCTCAGCAGGGACAAGGAGCTGAGCAAGGACCAGCGAGCGGCTGTTAAAGGTTGGGTGACCCCAGAGCCCGTGCGGTGCCCTCTCAGGCATCGCTGCTTTCTGCACGGGAGGAGGCTTGCGTCGGGATTCATGCAAACAGACTTTGTGCAGCAACGCGAAAGTGAAGCCGTGGAGATGCAATGGCTGAGGAGGGTCCTTTCCCCAAGCACAGACCACAGCAGTCCCTTCTCAGCCACCGAGTGTCCCTGCCAGGCAGAGCCAGCACAGCCACATGTTCTGTGCACTTGTAACAGGTTTTTTTCAGAGGTGCTCGGTATCATGAACCTGTTCTGCCACTGCAAACCCCCAGCTGGCTTTTAAATGTGTTGCAGAGGCTTGCAGAGGAGCCCTGCAAAGGTGCCATGCAGGACACAGCAGAGGCTTGGCCGCTTTCAGACTCCACAGCACCAGACACAAACAAGGACAAACCAACCGCAACTTGCTAGTAAAAGGATGAAATGCAAATTACGGTAAAAAATAAACTTAAGTCAGTCCCTTCTCTCAACACTATTCCAACTGCAAATCCTGGCTTAGGAGGGTGCTAGGCAAGATGTGCACAAAAGCACAGGGCAAGGGCCAGGGCTCCCCTCTGCAGAGCACCATCAGAAGGAGCTTGAGCCCGTAAAAAGGGAGAGATTCAATCTTCAGCGAAGCGCTGAGGAAACTGCTTTGCCATCAGAGACCACAGAAATCACCACAAGCGCAGCAAAATGGGAAAAGGAGGTCTGTCCAAAAGCAGGGCAGGGCAGGACCGATTCAACCCTGAAGTCAGCAAGAAATAAAGACAGATACAGCCCAGCACGCCCGCCCCACAGCAATGGATGCGGCAGCCTGGTACCCGCAGCATCGCCTCCGCCTGAGCGGGACCTCCCCACCCCACGGCCTGTGCAATGGGGGAGCGAGGCAGCCATCAGCAGTACACACACCAGTAGCTAATTAATACTTTTATGCAGGTAACAGTATGAGACACCAGCAGCTGCTACCAACGAACCGACAAAGGACAGATTCGCCTTTCTCTCCCTCACCGATGGGAAATGGTTTTGGTTTTGCTTTAAATGCCACTAAGAAGACAGACAGAAGGAGGACTCTGAAGGTAAAGGGAAACGTTCGCGTGCACCCAAAGGCTGCCAAAAGCTACTTCATGTGCACGAAGGTGGTTTTCTTTCTGCTACAGTACAAGTGCTTGTGCCTCAAGTATAAAACGCAAGCCTCCAAATCACACAGACAAGCTTCTTATTTTTATTTTTAAAGTGATAAATAAGGCACTGTACTTTTAACTAAAACTGCCTGGTTCCAAGGTTAAAAAAACCCAAGGAACGTTCAAACTGCAGAAATTTCCTTCTGAACAGCAGAGCCAGACAGGCCGATCTCTTCTCTGTCCAAGACACATCTGCCGATGCCTAAAATCACGGGCGTTATCCTTTAACTGCGGATTTTTAAAGGCTTGCTACAGCTTATAAAAGCAGCTTTAGTTAATGCATGGTAAAGGGTTACTACTATACATCAGTTTTGTACATGGCTACCGGTTCTTTGCTATTTTGGGTCCAGTCGCGAGCGTTTGCTGTGCGAACAGTCCACTTTTGCCCTCAGCTTCCTCTTGCCCTGCGACCCGCTGCTCTCCTGCATCTTCTTCATAGACCTTGTCAGGGTCTTCCCACCGCTGGGCTTCTTGTTGGCCATCTTCTGTGACCGTGTGGAGGACTCCCCCAGGGGCTTCTGCTTCGGGGACTTGGCCAGCTCCTCATGGCTGGGGGGCAGGACAGCCCGTCTGCTCGTGTTCTCCTTGCCCTTCCGCATGGGGAGCCGCACCTTCTCCAGCTGCCTTTTTGGGGCTCTCTTCTCTTTCAAAGACATTTTTCTAGTCAGCTTATTGCTCCTCTCCATGGCAGCCTGCTTTCGGGTGGCAGGAGCTTTTGCGCTGACCTCCGAATGCTTTATTTTACTGGCCTTCTTGGCAGGCAGCTTGTCCTTGGTGGAGGAACTGGATCGCTCCTGTGTGCTCCCACTCTCCTTCAGTGTCCTCTTCTTCCTTTTTTTTAGCTGGAGGTCAGCTTTGGGCAAGGGGTCCTCCTGGGGCCTGCTCTTCCCCTTCCGCCCCTTCCCCGTCCCATCCACTGATGGAGATTTAGCAGGAAAGGCATCTGCTTTGATCTGCAAGGCCAACTTTGGAGACATCAGTGGGTTGATTTTTTTTGGCTCTGCTTGCTCTCCAGGGACAGGTGGTCCCCTGGACCATCGTTCTTCTTCTCCACCTTCACCATGCGGTGCTGGGCTCGCAGCTTGCCCCGCAGGTTGGAGTACTTGCGCAGGATCCTGGTGCTGGCCTGTGTGGGCAAGCTGGGGACAGGCTGGATGGTTTTGTCTTCACTCAGGTCCTCGGTGCTGGCATCAGTGGACGATGTCTGGCTGGGAGCAGTGGCTTCTTCAGCCTCTGCTTTATCAGCATTCTCCCGAATTTTGGCCCAAAGCTTTTGGTTCTTCAGGTTATTTCGAGCCGGGGTAGTGGCGGCGAACTTCTTGAGGTGTTTTTTCAAACGTTCAGCTTGCAATGAGCTGGGATAGAGACTGGAGGAGGAATATTTCTGCATGGGGACTTTGATGGGGGGAATCTCCCCTGGTAGACGGGTGTTGAGCTTCTTCACGATTACTAGCGACCTGGTTTCAGTTGTCTCCAGAAACCACTGGCAGATGTCAGACAGCTTAAACGCCTTCATAAACAGCATCTGGACAGGAGAAAGCTTCTGCACTTCCAGTGAGCCTCTGCTTTTCCGTGTCCTTTTCTTGCTTTTCCAAATCTCTTTCAGTTTGTCGGCTTTGTTCTTTACCTTGGGGGTCGGCTGCACCTCCTTCTCCAGTTGAATCCAGCCCTTCTGAACTTTCATGTACTGAGTGTTAAACTCAGCAATGAGCTCCTGGTTCTCCTCTTCAGCACACCACTCCATGAACTTTGGTTTGCTGTCAGATACGTCTATGTCCTCCAACACCGTTGAGTCATCATTCCCTGAACTGCATTCGTCCCTCAGTTTGGGGATCGCTTGCATAGATTCCTTCCCTGGTGTGCTCTTCTTTGCTGTGTCTACAGGTGTGGGTGCGTGTCTTAAGTTATAAAACTGCAAGGCGATCTTTTTATGCTTTGCAGCCTTTGCTGGAAGATGCTTGCTTCCACCTCTGTTGCTGGGACAGAGAGGCGAATTGGCCACTGGCTCGTAGTTCTCCAGCTTGCCCGTGTCCATGGCACTGTTGGAGCTCTCCTCATCCTTTTCACTGGCATCGCCTGGTTTCACATCCACTTGCTCAGCATCATTTGCAGGCATGCTGCTTTCCGGAGGGAGGAGAATGCTTCTCTTCTCAGAATCAGCCTGGGCGCTGATTTCTAGCATCTCACCTGGTTGACTTTGGCTGCTGTTAGCAGGGGGGTTATCTTTAGAGGAATTTCCTCCCTCTGCCCCAGTCTCTTTCATTAAGATGTTTTTATAGGTTTGTCTGGTAGTGACACCATTCTCCTCGCCTGGCTGCTGCTCAGCGATGCTCTCTGGAGCCTGGTCGGTGCCCGGCCCCTCGCTGGTTTTGAGCAACACATTGGGGAAGCAGTCATTTGGGAAGTGCACAGATGCTGCCCCATCCAGGTGCACTTCTCTCTTGAACCGCTTAGCGCCAGGGCTCTTGGAGAGTTTGATCTGAAGGCAAGGAAGCTGCAAAGAGCTGGAAGAACCAGCATCCTCAGCACTGCCATCAATGGATGACTGGGATTGCTGGCTTCGGAGACGCCTGTCTGATGCCACAAGCACTCTCCTGCCTTTCTTTCGCTTCTTGTCTAGACTGTCTTTGGAAGAGACAGAGTCTTTCCCTGCAGTGTCTGAGCCATCAGGTTCAGGCGGTGTTTCCCCTTCAACAGGCTCTTTTTCACCTGCTGGGCTGTTATTCTGCCCTGCCTCCCCTTCTGAGATTTTGGGGAGGGCTGTGCTGGCTGGCACGGCCTCCTCTTCCTCAAGGGAGCCATCACCCACCATGCCCGATAATTCAGCTTCTGGTTTAGCATCAATGCTTTCACTCATGTCCACACACTGCAAGGTGGCAGGGAGCTCCAAGGAGCACTCCCCATCCACGGTGGCAGGGAGCTCATCAGGAGCCTGCCTGTATGGAGAGTGTGGGGAGGGCTCTGCCAGACACAGCCCGCAGGGCTCTGTATCCTCTGCGCCTGGAAGCTGGGCAGGATCCCTGGCACCGTCACAGGCCAGGGGTGCTGTGTCCACAGCGGCGGAGGACTGCAAGGGGGACTTTGGCTCCGGGCTGGCAGGGAGGTTTGGATCAGTTTGTACATTGGAGCCTGGACAACCTTCCTCCCCGCTGGGTGCTTCTGAGATGGGAAGGGCAGCAAAATTGGCAGCCTGCTCACCACCACTGCCATCCCCAGGGGAGCCCAGGCTGCCGCTAGCCTCCCAGGGGATGGTGCCTCCTGCTCTGGCCCCCTCTCCTTCGGCAGGAGGGGAGCTGGGGGGCGGCGAGCCGGCCAAGCTGTCCTCTTTCTGGGGGCTGGGTGGAGCAGAGAGGGAGAAGAAGGACATGGCCATGGTGGCTTCCCTCGACCGAAGCACCCGGGTATCCCGGGGCTGCACAGAACAGGGCTCAGTTCTCTCTTTCATTTCTTGTTTTTTTTTGAGCCAGGAGCCTCAGGGAAACCCTCTTCTCACCTTCCTGTCCTGCCCCCACAGACCCCCCCACCGAGAGCACCAGGGGCGACTTAGCGCTTACGAGGGTCTCCGTTCGCAGTGCTGGGCTGCTCCCCCTCTCCTCCGCCCGGGAGCTCTTAACCAGCGTGCGGACAGTC